CATTTGCCGAATCTCCAGTTAGCTTTCTTAAAGTGAGCAAAGATGTGGTTGTCCACAAAAATCAAGTCGGGAGGTTTCTTGATCGAGGTAATTATAAGCAGATGTTCTGATGCGAGGGTTAGCATAGGTCGCCAAGTTATGCTATTTATCAGACCACCACTAGTGATGGTAATATCCGGAGAGCTATTACAAATGCCCATAATTCTGGAGAGGGCTTCGTCATTCATTGTGCAGAATGTCGAATCGTATATCTATTCCGGCAGCTGATATTGCCCTGTGTTTTAATATCTTTAAACATACTTATCTTTGACAATGCCGAGACAATACAAAACATATACACAGAAACAAACGATTTTATGCAATACGCATGCACTCCCCAATCAACGATTCAAACATAAAACACAACAGAAAACAAAAAAAAATGTAAGACGGGTGTATATTCCCCCATTTTAAATGAATTACATAAGCAGTGTTAGTAAAAAAAACTAAACGCAGTGTTCATATGAATAAAGTTTAAACATTTTCTGTCCTTCGAGCTTATTAAAGAGCTCAGCGAAAATAATAAGCCATAAATAAAAAGCCCTGTTATAATTACATACAGGTAATATAAAAAAAGCATTGTTTTAAGTACAGGCAATAAAAAAGCCTTGTTATTCACAAAGGCGATATACAAAGTGAAGACTCCTGATGGGAATCGGATAATATTTTAATGACAAAAATCCCACTTTTCAAGAAAACCTGCGTTCACATGGGGACTCTTTTGATCCTCATAATCAGCAAATTCTCTTTTGTGTCGCTCAGTGTCTCTCAGTTAAATCGAGTTTTACTGTCATTCCTTTTCACAAAATTTTCGCAAAAGTTTGTGTAGCTCGGCTACGCGACACTTAGAGTGCGTTTCATATTTCATTTGTATGTTGGGATGGTGGTCTCACATTTTTGGTTGCAAGGAATTACCATGAATGTGGTAGAACAATATGCATAATACCCGCTTAATAGTTTCAAAGAAATACTTAAGTCGAGATTTCCTTAATCCATCAGAATGTATTTATATGTATGTATTTATAACAGGAATTTTTTAATCTTTCGGAAAGTATTAATCCATAATTTTTTTACTCCATATTTTTCTCTATTTATTATAAAACATTCTTGAATTACTTACAATTCTTGTTTTAAATAAAATGATATACGAACGAAATCATTTTCGGTTAAAAGAAATAAATATGAAAGCATCTTAATATTTTATGAAAATATAAAAAAGTAAAGTTTCAATTTTTATTAGAATTTATTTATGTATATCATAACATTTAATACTGCTATATTTATTAATTTAAATTGAATATTTTTGAGTATCTTAATTGTCTCTTATTTACAATTTTTCAAAATATATCTGTTATTTTATGCATGCATAGATAACAGAATTCAAATTTCTGAACGAATGGTACGAACATTTGAAACCGAGCGCTCTTGCAACCATGAAAATAATTTGGAAATGAAAAGGAATGCTGAGAAGTGTAACAGTAAGCTGTTACGAACAAGAACAAAAAGCGTGCCACCCAAGCACGAGTGACACGGTCCCTTCGTCTTTCCTAGTCGTGCCCTCGCCCACAATAAACCGGTTTGGGTTACAAAAGAGTCTGTGTGTAAACTAGCACAAATTGACTCACAAGAATTATGGGTAATGGTCATCAAAGAAAGAATTATAAAACAGTGATATATTTAGACACGATAAATCTTTTTAGGAGGAGGCGATAAAGCAGAGTTGAATGCTCATGAAATAATACTTAGGTATTATTTTATATTACAAAGAAGCTAGGAAACAAAAACATTGTTAACAGTGGATGGATTTTTTCTATTAAATATGTATAATGAATTAGGAAATCCTATAAGATATAAAGCAAGACTAGTAGCACGAGGGTTTACCCAAAAATATCAAGTCGATTATGATGAAACATTATTAGCATTAGCAGTCCAATATAATTTAAAAGTACATCAAATCGATGTTAACTGGAGAAGGCAATTTACGAGCTCAAAAAAGCAGCTAAATGCTGGTTTGAAGTATTTGAGGAAGCATTGAGGAGTTTGATTTTACTAATTCTACATCGTTGTGTAAATGTTCTTCACAGAGGTGAAAGTAAGGAAAGCATGTATGTATTACTATTTGTTTATGATGTGGTAATAGCTACAGGAATCATGACAAGAATGGATAGTTCCAAAAAATATTTATTGGAAAGGTTTAGAATGACTAACTTGAAAAACCTACGACATTTAATAGGCAAAATAATAGAAATGTATGAAGATGAAGTTTGTTTAGGCCAGGTTGCTTATGTTAAAATGGTTATAAATAAATTTAATATGTGTGATTGCAGTTTGTACCCCTCTACCGAACAAACTCAATTATGAATTGCTTAACTCAGATGAAAATTTTGATGCGCCATGCCGTAACCTTATAGGTGGTTTAACGTACGTAATGCTATGTACTCGTCCAAATTTACCTACTGCAGTAAATAACTTGAGTATATACAATAGTAAAAATAATTCTGAATAATGTTTAAAAAGGATACTCAGGCACTTGAAGGGAACCATTAATATGAAAATAATTTTTGAGAATGCGGATTTTGAAAATATAATAGTTGGTTATGTAGATTCTGACTGGGGTGGTAATGAGATTGATAGGAAAAGTACAACGGGTTATTTGTTTCATATGAATGGTTCAAATCTAATTTGTTAGAACACGAAAGGACATAGATCGGTAGCCTCATCAACCGAAACTGTTAGGGAAGTTGTATGGTTGAAATATCTTCTAAATAGTGTAAATATCAAACTTATATGTCCCATTAAAGTTTATGGAGACAAACTATGGGTGTATCAGCATAGCGAACAACCCCTCATGTTATAAAAGAGCCAAACATATTGATATTACATATAATTTAACTAAATAGCAAGTTGAAAATAATATGATTTTTCTCGAGTATATTAATTCAGGTAATCAACTTGCTGACATATTTCCGAAGCTATTGCCTGCTGCAAGATTTTTAGAATTACGAAACAAGTTACTTCATGATGACTAATCAATTTATTCTTCGTTTCTGAATATTAATAGTCGTTTATTTGTTTATTAATGAAAAAATGTATCTTACAAATTTAAGAAATTAATCCATATTTATTTAAATAAAGAGAAATATTGTATTGTATTCATGTTAAAAATTAAAAAAAAAATTAGTTACTGAAATTTTATATACTTGTAATGTTCAGTGATCTGATCGGGTTTTTCTGGGTTTTCCCCTTTTCCCCCAGAATACACAACAAACACGTTAGAATAAGTGATGATAATATATATTTAAGTAGTAAATCTTTAAGTTCGATTTTTATTATGAATGTTATTTTATCCAATATAACGGTTGTGTAAAAAAAATGCGATAAATCTATATATAAATACATCAGAGACACCAAATTCTACACCCGAAATGGTACGTCAGCTCTTTAAGGAAGTCGGTGTCAAAATTGGACTGTGGGGTGACACCACCTTTAAGTGAAATCGCATTTTCCTGACCTAGTCACCTATTTCGACCAAATTCGGTACATAACATTATCTTTACATTCCTATGTGAAAATGCGAAAATGTGCGAAACTAGAGTACAACGTAAGTATATATTCCCATATTACACAATTTTAAATTCCAACTGATTTTTTCACTTTCCAGTATACAAATCAACTACCATTGAATGTATCGGGATAAAACTTTGTACAGATAGTGCCTTTAAGGTGTACCACCTTATGACCAAAAATGTAAAAACCACACTACAACTGTTCGATCTCCCAGATATCGAATACGTGGACCCCAGCGCCTATTGCCAACATTTTACATAATGTATCGGTAGATATCTGTGAGATTAATCAAATTCGGAGGGGATCCTTATCTGATAATAATATGTATGTCTACATATCAAAAATGGGTTGAATCGGATCAATATTTAACTTAGCCCTCCATATACATAATAAAGATTTTCCAACCTCCAGTTGACTTTATACCACATATAGTGGTCAATATGTGAGTTATCTTAATGAAATTAAGAGAGCGTGTTTTTCTAACATCAGTGTATCTTTGAGCCTAAAATGGTGCCCTAGCCCCCAAATAACTAATATAAGTGTTTTCACTTATGAAACTCAGAGTGCATCTTTTTCTGTTAATTATATTTGGTGATGCCAAAACCCCAACTCTCATATACTCCATATAGTGATTTCTTTTATTTTATTCTAACAAACCTTATGCCGAATATATTGGTCAGTGTGTGATTTATATACACATAGCCAATAAAGTCTGCGTTCACCCGACACATTTTTCTAAGTGAAGTAAAAACACAATGTAAATAGGTAATTCAGTTCAAATTTTCTGCATGTATGTCTTCTTTATATTCTTAAATTCAAAATGCAAAAACAAAAATGTATATTTCTATTTTCATTTTTGTGATAACGAAGGACCCAAAATTAAAAATAAAGAAAAAAATGGTACACAACAAATCCAAAGCTAGAGCCACAGAAGGAGGAGGAGGAGTTATTATTATTATTATTGTATTTTATATTATGTACTTAAATTCACAAAATGGTTCAAATATTTTCTTCAAAACAACAAATAACATTAGATACAATGGCGCTATTGGGCTTTGTCACACTTTCTTAATTTAAATTTAAAATTTTGATCGCTTTTTTTACGCGTTCTGATATACTTCAAGAATACGAATATACCATAGAAACGAAGCGACGATAACAACGACAACAATTTAGAAACGACAACGGGAATAGGGCCGATTATTTGCTTAAAAATTTCATTTCAATCTATTCACAATTTTGTCGAACAATGAATATTGAATTATTTCGCAACATTTTAAATGTAAAGTATTGCCAATACCTGAAGGAACTTAGTCCTTACTTTTTTGTCAATAAGTTAATATTCAATTATTTAATTCTTCTACATGGATATTAATATTATAACGAATACTTACGAGCTAGCAGCTATTCCACAATTACATTTGACACTGTCGGTTTGCAAAGGACACTGCGGCAGCGAATTATCTTCATTAAGGCCCGTATGTCTTGCAACGTCAACGTCGTCCACCCATTGAAAGAAATTACATGGTTTTGCTTTGGCACATACGTAAAATAACTTGCCCTTATTCGGTCCTTCTTTTTTAACAGTACATCTAAAATAAAATAAAATTTTTTTTGGAATATTTAAATAGAAATTGGTCAATGTAGTAAAAATCAGTTTTGTTGGAGTACAGAAAGAAGTAGTGTTTTTTTTATTTATACACACACACATTTTTTGGTTATGTAACACTATACCTACTGTTTTGCTTGTTGATGGCATCCTGTGCATTGGATGCTTATTGTGGGTCGAATATTACGCTGTAATTTGCTACTCCAGTTAAAGTGGACAGTTTCTATAGATTGTACTCCCTCTTTTTCTTTAATTTGCGTATGAGCAGTATCTAAAGAATTCTGATTTAAAAACGTGCTTGGTTTATGCTTGCCCGTTCCCCATGGAAAATCTTTTAAATCAGGAAAAGTGTCGTCATAATTTAAATCCAGATTTTCTACACAAGGTGTTTTAGTCGGACAGTTTTCTGTGGGAACAAAATCCTCCTTTTGGGTAAACAAGCTATCACTGCGGGAAGCCTGCATATCAGCTAAATTTTCGTTTTGTATAACAACTTTAGATATAATTTCATCGAAATCATCATCACTGTTAAAAAACTCATCCAAAACTACATCCCTAACTGCTGAATTATCAAATCGTTCAGGACTTTTTTGTTGTTCATTATTTAATGCTAGAAAATAAAATTAGAAATTATGCAAGGTTCAGAAATTATTATAGTATATATTTACCGGATGTAAAAAACGAACTAATGTTTTTATTTGTACTTTGAGTTTTCGTGTTTTTATTTTTTTGGTCATTTTTAGTTTCAGATACTAATTTTGATTCACCCATATTTCGCTTTTTCTGAATATTTGCTGAGCTTTCTAGCGCTCTAGTGGAATTGAAATTTCTAAGAGAGACCAATGGAGCTACACCAGCAGATGTTATAGTATCATCAATAATTCCCACAATGTCACCAGCACTCTTTACTTGTTCTAGATTAATATTAAACAAATCACGGAGTTGTTGATCACAACGCAAACATGAAGTATACCAACCAGAAGGTGCATTAAATATATTTTTATAGTATAAAGAATTAAATTTAAATTTTATCAGTTTTACATTTGGACCACAACGCTGACAAGTTTCTGGTAAAATTCTTGGTTCTAAACATTCTACTGGTAACCAAATAGCATTCTTACAATCAGGAAAATTCATACAGCCAACGTAATGTTCCTTATTACTGTTTTTTTGTCGTAAAGTCAATGGTGCTATGGAACATTTCGGACATTGAAACAATTCTGTTATGGAATTATTCGTGATATTTTGATTTTCCACGTTTTCATCCCTGCGATTGCCCGTTGTTGTAGGATTTTCATTTATTCTTTAAAGAAATACAATTAAATTTATGTAATGAAATATTAGCTAAGACTTTCGAAAATTACCGCAAACCAATTTTATTGTCCATAGCAGTTACTTTTTCTGTTATTTGTGTGTATGCTTCGAGATACTTTTGAATTTGTTCATTCAAGACCACCTTAGGATCCTTTTTTCCTGTGCAGATATCTTTTAAGTCTGACTCAAACTCTGCTCTTAACATGGGTTTTGCTAATGTTAAATTCATGGCATCATATCCTTCATATAAACCCATTCCTATTAAGCCTGGAACAAGACACCCTTTATCTACCACACCAATGTATCCTATATGTGCATATAAATTTTTATTCACAAAATAATAAAAAACATTAAAATTGTATTTATCGAAGATTATTTGCTCAGGGTACCTCTTTCTTTGATTGTATTTATATGTTCAGCATGAGTGGCATCAGTTCCAATGCCATGTTTTTCCATTAAAACAATTAAATCAGCCTCTGTCAATAGTGGAGGAGCAGTAGTGGCTCCTTCTTGCATTGATATTTCAGTGGGTTCAAATAATTGTCCTGTGTTGGAAGTTATCAAATTAATCTGACCATTTATCAACAAAAGCCAATTACCTCGTTCATATTTGTGTATTTGTTTTGCATTCCATTTTTCGTAAATATATATGTCTAAGTAGTTTCGTTCGTGAATGCAGAGACCAGTCGCCGTAAACTTTTCACCGGCTATATTGATATTAATGATAGTTTCCGAACCAACTGCATCTTTACTGACACAAGCCAGAAAATGTCGACATATTAACTCGTATACTCGTGAATCATTACCGTGTAGGTCTGGAAAAATTTGAACAAACATTTTATACAAAGATCTGGTATATATTAGCATAATACATATTTATGGCTTAGATTTTATTGTTGGTAAATTAAAATAGTTTATACAAAGATGTGGTATATAGGTTATCATAATACATAGTTCCGTGAAGATATAATGCTTGAAATGACTATAATGGATGTGGTATATGTATCTCCAAAATTCAACAAATAGAAAAAACCATCATTAACGCCTCTAGCCCTATAATTAGTAAAGGTCCACATTTTGGTTTTAATAAATATTGTCTAATGATAATTTCAGCAGTACTAAATGAAGAGTTAAAAAAAATAAATTAGTAGTAATTTTGATGAAAAGGATGATCTGTATATTTCGTCATTCTTTTGGCAAGTTGAGGATACTTTGGCAATGATGAATGTAGTTAAATTGCTGAATTCGGTTTTTCCAAATGTAGATGACGAACATTTTCAAATAAATATTTTTATTTAATATTGTCGGCTTAAATTCCACAATACATATTTTTTTTTTTTATTTCTTAACAAATATTTCATTAAAACAATTTATTAAACTGCAGTTTCGGATATTTTACTCATTTTTATTGACAAACATACCTCGCTAAGTGAGTACTCGAATTAACGAAAAGTTCAATATAACGAACTGACTGACAATATATTCGTTATTTAGGAATACTGCTGTAATTTGAAACAAAATATATTATTAAAGCTGAAGAAAATAAAAATTCGAAATAACGAACTGGCCTGACAATTAAATTAATATGTTCGTTATTTCAAAATAATGCTGTAATTTGAAACAAAATATATTTTTAAAGTTTATGAAAATAAGAATCGAAACGTTCCTCAATAGGCATGGAATAGATGTTATTATAAGGAAAATACCTTTAAACCTTCAGTGGTATAACTTAAAAATAATTCTAATTTGCTGGTAGCATTGTTTTTTAATATCTGAAAGGTTTCATGATGCAATTCCATTAAAATGTGATTAGTTTAGCAAAACGGAATTTCCGTCTATTGCTAAATTTATCATTTTTAAATTTAAATCAAGTTTTTTATAAGTTCTTACTTTTTAATATTGGGAACAATGGATTTACAGATACATATAGATAAACTAACCTGTTACTAGCTTTGTAGGATGAATCGGTGGATGAGCCTGATCACTTTTGTTGCCATTTCGTGGATTCGCCCCCCATTCGTTTACACGTTGTGCAAACGTTCCCCAGTTTGGGTGTGCTGTGAACTGTTCTATCAAAGAACTAAAAAAAATATATAGAGACACATATAGGCATAAGTAGAAGAATTTTTTAATACATACGGTAAATCTATATCCTTCGAAAATTGATTAGTTTCAGTGCGTGGATAACTAATTATACCCTTGGTGTACAGTTTTTCTGCTATGGTCATTGTTTCTTTAGCTGAAATTTTAAGTTTACGCGAACTCAGTTTTTCCATCTCTACGGTGTCCAATGGAGTTGGTCGCCATTTATGTTTGCTTTTAGTTATTACATCTTCAACTTTCGCTTTCGGATCAGCTAAACAAAGTAACAGGTAATCTTCACAAGCTAGTTTATCAAACAATCTATTTCGCGCCCAAAGAAAGTCTACTGTGAGGTCGCCGATCGTATGTAAAACTATTTAAGTAACAGTTTTCTTTGTTATTTTTTATACCAACTATTAAAATTATTAAGTAAATGTTAAACTATATATCCCCCAACGAAGAGCCTCAAAAATTATTCTTTTTTTAAATCGTCTTATTTTGACGATTACAAATCCGTGAGCGGAAAGTGAAATTTTTCAATAATTTATGTATATACACCCAGAAAAAGTTTGCGTACACGCTAATATCTTATTTTCTTTTGTTAAAAAACAAGTTTTTTATACTAAATTTTAGAGCATAATCATATTAAGAGATTTATTACTAGTCTATTGCACAATCCCATAGCATTTAAAGCAATGAAAATCTGACACCATTGTTTTATAGACAAATTTACAAAAAGTAGTAATTTGGCAGCGTAGAAAAAGTCTGCGTACAAGTAGTAAAATGGGAATTCCGTACGTAATAACCAAATGTAAAAGTGTCGGAAACTTATAGTTTTACTTGTTTTCGTAAAAGTAGAAAATTTAAAAGATTTTTGTTCTATTCAAGGTGAAACTCGTAACGCTTTGCAAAGTGTGAAGCAAAACCTTCGGCCTACTGCATCCACAATCGATCGAAATGTTAATATAAATTTTAAGAAATCCCTCTGCACTAACACTATTCGCAAATAAAAAAAAACATGGTTTTATGGTCAATTCGCATACAAGAACTCATTCATATCGCTAGTCAATAGGTCAGTGCATAATGCTGTCGCGAAAGAGTACTTAAATAGGCCCCGGGAGTTTTGGCAGAAAGAAAGTACCTCAAGCATGTGTTACACGAGGAATGGGCTCACAGCCCTTCGACAGAAACCTCTAAACTTGTCTATTCCATGCCAAAACCCTTAACGTAAGTTTTAAAACGTTGGGGATATCCGACTTCCTATTAAATTTTAAAAAAAATTAGTACGACGAATAACTTTATTAGACTTATGTACCTTGTGCGCAGACTTTTTCTAATAGATTTTATATTTATCCGTATTTTTTTATTTTGTTTTTTGACTGCTATTTAATAACTTTTATTTTCATACAACTATATATTTAATTCCTTTTAATGGATATCAAATAAATTGGTTTTTATAAAATGTATATAGAGTTATTCTTTCCAACAATTTATTTTTGTTGATACCTTGTAGACTTCTTTTGCCCAGTGTATGTTTGTGAAAAAAAAATACTGAAGAAATGTAATAGTCACAATTTCTTTTGCGCCGTAATCTGAAGGTATGGACGTATAGAGGGGTTCGTCGTACTATTTCCGCACTGGCGGCCTCCGGCCGCACTTCAATAAAATAACCCTGGTCGCTCTAACACCGGCGTGCTCCTTCCCTTGCCGATTTGGTTACAGTTTTTATAACATATAAATATTACCATATTTACCATTTATAGTCAAAAAAATTAGGTGCTTATCTTATATTTGCATTTACCTTTTAATTTCCAAAATGGTTCTGAAACAAAGGCTTCTATTTCTTTATACCTCTCCGCGACAAAACCTAACGTAGGTATCTGACAACTTCCATAAGATATTAGCTTATCAGCAATTTTTTCAGGGAATAAACGTTGTAGTCTCATAGTCTGAAATCTTGTTATTGCTGCTCCTGTTCTAAGATCAAGCTCCGTTCTTACATCAACAGCGTCACTTAATCTCTTATTAGGTTCTTTTAATTCGCGAAGAGCACGGCGAACAGAAGCCTTGGTAATTTCTGAGAAAATTGATCTGTATACTTTGATGTTTGGTTTCACCTTGCGACACACGTCTATTATTTCATATCCTATATTTTCTCCTTCCCTATCACAATCCGTCCAAATAATGAGTCCATTGCAGCTACGAACTTCTCTTTCTAATGTTCTCAAAATTGGTTGGTAATTCTCATGGCATGTTTTTTGTACTGGTGCTGTAAATAACACTTGAGGATCTACTTCATTCCATCGACGATATACTCCAACAAACTCTAATTTCAATAGATGACCCGACACCGAGGTCATTACCATTTTACTCTTTCTTTCATTTACTTCCGTTTCGAAATCATAGATTTTGTTATAAACTGAATATCCTTCTCGCTAGAAATCACAATATTATCTACTTTTTCATGAGTTTCTTATTTCAATCATCTTACTCTAATTGTGGCTCCATTTGACAAAAGACCTGCGATTGTTTTTGCAGCATCGTTTTTCTCGGCCACATTTAAGTACTTCATATAAACACTTGATTGTTGACTATACCTATAGCAGAAAATGTTGGTATACGCCCAATATTTAGTCAACCTTAGCATTTAAAAAACTGGGCCTTCACAATTATTTCTTAAGTATTGTGACGAACACGGATAATACCCATGGTATAATACTGTGCTTACATTGTGACTCTTTTGACCCTCATTATCGGAAAATTCTCTTTTGGTGTCGCTCTGTGCATTCACACGAGCAAATAGAGTGCAGCAACTCAAATCGAGTTTTTCTGTCATTCCTTTTCATAAAATGCTCGCACATGTTAGTGCGTTTCGGCTACGCAACACTTAGAATGTGTGGCATATTTCAGTTGTATGTTATGGTCTCACATTTTGCTTGCTTTTAATATTTTATGTAAATATAAAAAGGTGGCCCTTAGTCTTTCCTCGTCGTCTCCTCTCACATAAAAAGCCACTTTACACACACTTTTGTAATCCAAACCGGTTTATTGTGGGCGAGGGCACGACGAGGAAAGACGAAGGGACAATGCCATTCGTATTCGGGTGGTACGCTTTGTGTTCTTGTTCGGAACAGCTCGCTGCTACCCTTTTCAGCATTCCTTTTCACTTTCAAATTCTTTGAATGGTTGCACGAGCGCTCGGTTTCAAATGAATCTATACCATTCGTTCCGAAATTTGAATTCTGTTATCTATTTTTTGTATGTGATATGCAAATATGTATGCATAGAATAATAGAAATATTTTAAAAAATTGTAAATAAGGAGAAAATTAAGATACTCAAAATTCAGTTTTAATTTTATGAAAAGGAAGGACAGAAAAACTCAATTTAAGTTGATGGACTCTTTTTGCTCGTGTAAATGCACAGAGCGACACCAAATGAAAATTTGCCGATAATGAAGGTCAAAAGAGTCCCAATGTAAAAGCACACTTACAAAAAAGTCTGTGTGCCCATTCACAGTTCTTTCAGCACCTCTAAGCCGTACGTTCACAATAAAACCAACATGGCCGCCTATGGTTTGTTAAGGCTGAGAATGTAGATTCAGACAACGTAAAATACAGAGAAGGTCCAACTACGGACCAGCGTGTGAATTGTCAAAACCTAACAAAATGCGATGAGCGTGTTTCACCCAGAGAACTTAAAACAATGAGAAGGTGCAGGTTCGACAGCGAACAATTTGTAGGAATTTATCAAGGAGTTCACCACAGATGCCCGAGAAACAAATAACATTTTTCGCTATTATAACAGCGGTGAATCTGTACACATACGCTCTCTTAACATAACCAACCGACGAATATTGAAATGAATATAATATGTGAGCAAAACTGGGCATATTGATATGCCATTTGAAATATATTCCCTTTTATTGAACTATTATTTATTATTTTTTAAATTATTTTATGTTAATTCATTTTAACTTTATTATGAGAAATATATCAAAATACTTTTAAATTATTACTAATAAAGTATATTGATATATTTCTTAAAATAATTCATTAATTGTACTTGACACCATTATGGAGTCATAAAAGTACAGAATTGTGTTTTGCCGTCGGTATTTCACATTCATGCTTCAATTTTTCTTTTCAAATGCATGTGTAAACATATGTAACAGGACATACATATATTATGTCGTTTACACATTTGTATGTATTTTTATGTAGATATGTACACTCATTACTTCATGTGAAATCTCCGTTGACACATTTTTTGCTTTTATGTCAAAGAGTCAATCTGTCGAAGAACTGACGCGACGACAAAGCGTCACAACATTGTGTTGTTGGTAGAAAATCCGAGATGTGCCATACACACTCTTAAAAACAATGTGTGTACAAAAAATTCGAACTTACTTACGTAAATTCTTTGACAAATACAGTCAATCCCGGTAAAGTGCCAAAACCAAAGATGCAGATTTTTTGTGATTTGTAGTACATAAGCGATTGCCGTACTTAAGCGAGTGGTACCAAAAAAAATTATTTCTATGTATTTAAAAAAAATTACCGTTTTCTTTAAAAAATTAAGAAAAAACAGTGAGATGCAGCAGGACACCGGCAGATAAGAGGGATTCGAGGAGTGATACTTAACCGGGGTTTACTGTATACATAAATCAGAGGAATATTGAATATTTTCTTTAAAAAGTTTCTTGAATTGTAAATCGACAAATTTACTATGTTGTCACTTTTATTCTAAAATATTTTAATACTCATATTTAAGGGGTTGTCACTTTTCCCTTCTAAGGGAATATCAGAAATTTGTTCAATTTATGATTTTTAGCTTTTGCCATCGTCACGAAAAGACGCTTGTAGGCAAACGCATGCTCGGGGAGATGTGTAAGGCGTTTGCTTTTATGAATGAAACGACTTACCTTATTGCTTGTGCGCCAGTGTTCATGAATGAAAATGTTGTTGGTGTGTGATTTACTACAAATTTAGGATTTGTCAATTTGGCTGCCATATTGATTTCTGGTGCTGATGCTATTTGAGACAATTGTTGTTTTTGTACAACAATGTTTGTAATTTTCCTATTGGCTGACGTACTTACATTTGTACGCTTAAATGTATGTAGATTTGTGTATGCATTACTTATTTTGCGCGGTCATATGCATATTTGTACATACATACTTACATATAGAGCAGTGCGCTCACATGTATTTATTGATAATTGATAATATATATTATTATATAATATTATATAATATAACATATTGATGTACATACATAAATTATTAATTCTGTAAAAATTGAAATTAGAAAATTATGAAAATAGTAAAATATCATTTTTTGCATAATCTTTCACATTTTATCAATGTAGCATTTGTGCAAAAAAATAATAATTTATCAATTTTTCATTATAAAAATCGTTTATATGGCCAAAAATAATTATGCATCATCATCATAATCATGTGAAGTGGCATTTGTATTTCTTGTTTTCTCATTCATTTCATTTCATTTTTTCTTTATATTGGTAGATACGTATTTTGTCAGAGAACGTTGTTAAAAATTCTCATTTCTGTTAAATAACAGCAAAACTATACAGAAAGTGGTGAACTCCTTGATCTCAAATTTTCAGCCAACCAATCGAGCATCATACAAAATTCAATTTGCACCTTCTCATTGTTTTAAGTTCTCTGTTTCACCACAGTCGGCAGAGAATGTAGACTATAGAGAAGGTTCACAGTGCGGCCATTAGCAAAATATTTCATGCTTCGCAGGAGAACTGAAAAAGATGAGCGTGTTTCACCACATTTGGAAGGGGTACTGAAAACGATGAGCGTGTTTCACCAAATGTCCACAATTAACATCAGGGGACTGAAAAATAGCAGAATTGAGCATTTTCAATGTTAATTGAGAAAAATAATGCTAATTTCAATGTTAAGAAATGTACGCTTACAGATTCGTATATTTACAATGCGCAAACGACTTTTCATATAATTTGAAGATATTCTGCCTATACAGGGTGGCTAACGAATCGTGCTATTAAATTAAACAAAATTAAAATTTTATTTTATTTAAACAATTAATTTTTTTTCCATACTCAACCACGCATATGCGACACCTAATTCGGGATTGCCTCAATTATCTATTTAATGGACCGCTTCAGTTCAGTCAGATTTCTGGGTTTGATTTTGTACACCTCTTGCTTGACATAACCCCATAAGAAAATACCAAGCGGTCGCAAATATTCTTATACATTATATATGTATAATTATGTGTGCATTTAAACAAATATGGAAGTACCCTTTATAATTATTAATTTGTCTACATGCAACATATGTGTGTATGTACACTCATTGTTTCATGCGAAATCTCCGTTGCCCTGGACAACCAATGGCCGAAGCTCACGTTTTTTATTTTCTTGTCAAAGAGTCACTGTGTCGAAGGACTGACGCGACGACAAAACGTCACAACATTGTGTTGTTTGTAGAAAACCGAGCTATGCCGAAAAATAACGAACGGCCGCCGATTGTCACCGCTTCCTTGCCGCCTCTAATAGCTTTGCCCACTAATGATCGTAAATATGTATGTTTATGTATGAGCATGCATATTATTGACGGAGATTTTGTCATGGAAAATATTTTTAAATGAAAATTTTAAAATTGAAAAATATTTTATATTGTACATATATTTAAATCGACAAAAGCTTTTGCCGGTTTTGTCAATATTTTCTGTGTTTTGTGGGTTCGCGGGTTGCAACTTTTCCCTTCTAGAGGGAACATCAGAAATTTGTTCAATTTATGATTTTTAGCTTTGCCATCGTCGCGAAAAGAAGCTTGTAGGCAAACGCATGCTCGGGGAGAAGAGAGGGTGTCTGTTTTTATAATGAAGCGAGGTTGCTTGTTGAAAGTACGCCTGCGTTCATGAATGACAATGTTGTTGTTGTTTGATTTACTATAAATTTGACCTTCGCTTATTTGGCTGATATATTGACTTGTGACGATTGTTGTGTTTGTAGACAAATGTTGGAAGTTTTGCGGGTGACATATTTATATGTGTACGAATATATGAATGTAGGTTTGTGTATCCATTATTTGTGTGGCAATGTCATAAGCACATATGTATGTATGTACTATAGAGCAGTGCCGCAAATGTTATTACTGATAAATGATAATAACCTGATTTGAATTTAAATTTTATTTACATAAGTGCATACATATGTACGTATGTAAGCTTAAAATCATGAAAGGTGTGATTTGCATATATTACTATTCAAATATTTAAGATTTTTAAGATATTATGTTAGTGTGTTATATACTTATGTATGTATGTATATAGTAAACATAGAAGATACATACATATGCATACATATGTACTATATGAAGCATTTCATAATATCAAACATAAGCAATATCTAAAAAGCAACTGCAAATATTCCTTTGAAGTAGCATATTTTAATAAATGTAATAAAGTTTTCATGATATCATAGATATTCAGAAAATGAATTTCATATCTATGAATATGATTGCATATAAACGTATAAAATATAAGCTAACATGCGGCTGTAATATCAATGCAAACTTGAGCATATTCATACAATGCTCAGCTCTATTCACGCGCCACTTTTAAAATTTCTCTTCCGAGCCGACTGTGGTGAAATACCCTCATCGCATTTTGTTAGGTTTTGACAATTCACACGCTGGTCCGTAGTTGGACCAGAAAACTTAAAACAACGAGAAGGTGCAGGTTCGACAGCGAAACATTTGTAGGATTTTATCAAGGAGTTCACTCCATGCACGGAAACAAATACATTCTCGCTTTTATAACAGCGGTGAATCTGTAAACATACACTCTCTTAACATAACCAAACGGCGAATATTGAAGATAATATATATGTATGCCAAACTGGGAATATTGATATGCTATTTTGAAACATATTCCCTTTATTGAACTATTATTTATTATTTATTTTAAATTATTTTATGTTAATTCATTTTATTTCTTGTGAGTTATTAATAATAATTTAAACATATTTTGATATATTTCTTAAAATAATTCAAGGGCTTGACACCATTATGG